GGGGGCCTCCGGTATGGACATTGAAGCAATGAAGCGTCGACATGGAGTTGTCACGCCTGCACGCCCAAGCCCATGGCCCGCGGGTGACGATTCCTGCCTATCTATTGGCTGGCAGGGGCGGCCACCTCTCCGACCTCCTGAACCAACCAGCGTCGAGCCCTGTTGCTCTCCGTTCTTGCACCTGGGTTGGCATCGTGACACAAATTGTCGGTGCAATGTGATTGCTTGCTCTCGAGAATCATATTCCACAAGTCTGATGGTCTTCATAATCAGCTGAAACCCGGGATAGATCACCTCATCTTTCAGGTCGGCGCTGACACTAACCCCCCTCAAAGCCCTCTGGACTGCTCCATTGCAGGGGCTCGCGCTCGTCCTGAACCACTCGAAGCAACCACCATCGGAGAATTTCACCCGTTTCTGGCATCACTGTTTCGTCCTGGTGCAGAAAGTCATGAGGTCCAGATACCAAAGACTACTGCCGGGTACGGCCAAGTCCAACAACTTGGGCGGACGGTCGAGAAATAATAGTACTGGGAGTGCATCATCGCTGCCTACCTGTGTCGTAAACCCCATTGCTTGCGAGAGGTGCCGGCGGAAAAAGGCAAAAGTATGTCATCCTAAACGCAGGCTGTCATAATATTCGTCAACCGACAACTAATGGACAGTGCGATGGCGAAAGACCAAACTGCAACCGCTGCGTGCGAAACGGCGCAACCTGCCAATACGATGCAGATGTTGGCGAATCCCGTGCCGCGGCGCTGAAAAAGAAATACAGTGCATTGGAGAAGGAAGCCGCGCAGCTGAGTAAGGCGGTTCACCAGTTGAAACGTCTTTACGGATATATCTGCGCATCGTCCGAGGACGAGGCATTCAAGGTGTTCCAACACATCAGGGCCAGTGACAACCACAACCCCATCGACGCCCTGCAATCGTTCGATCGAAATGACTTCTTGACCCTGGAATACAACGAGTCGCCCGCCCCAACCGACGTGTCTGATGACACGGGTATTGAATCTGCGACCAATGCTCTGTTTGAGGTGCGAGCTCTGCCGTGGTCCGTCGTCGCAAGTGACGAAGTAGTATCGGAGCTCATCTCGCAGTACTTCACGTTCGACTACTTATATGCTTTTCCTCCAATACCGCGTGTCACATTTCTGAACGAAATGAAACTAGGAGACGTGGCCGCTGCAACATCCTGCTCGCCACTGCTGGTCAACGCCATCTGTGCGCAACAGTGTGTAAGTCAGTTGTCAAAGCACTGCCGCTGCCGCTTCAATTTGCACTAGACTGAGCCGTGTTCTAGTTTCTCTCCCCCAAAAAGTATCTAGATACCACAGTACGTGAAGTGCTGGCAGAAAGCTTCTTGCAGGAGGCAAATAGGTTACTCCAAAGCCAAGAAGCTCGCCTGTCCCTCCCAGACGCCCAAGCTATCTGTCTGATATATGCTGCCGTGGCCGCAAGAGATCAAGTCAACTCTGGCACTATTTCCGATGCAGATGCGGCCTGAAGGTCGACCGAGTATGAAGAGGAATTGGTGTGGAAGAACAAAGGAGTTTGGTAAAAGTGGCATTTATAAGCGTGAATTCGGCGTGGCTTATTCTTTGACGACTACCAGCTGGGGCTGGAAAACGCTGTCTTCCTTCTTAATGCTTGCGTTCTCTTAGAGATGTCATGAAGCATTCGAGGGAGGCGCTCGCCATTTACGCCAGCCTCCGTGGCTCTGTTCCCATACGGGTCGCCCAGTGGCACCAGTGTGCTGGCAGAGTTCCGGGATTGGTATACGGAGTAAGTTCTCGATAATGCAAAAGTTGAAAATAGTTGGTCATGACAGGTATGATTATTATTAAGGTAGCATGCTATAGAATCTCAAGACTTGGTATTTTGCTTTTTCCTCGACACAACGTCTAGGAACCTTTCGTCGTCACATCCGCCTCGGCAACCACTACTTTCTGAACCAAAATGCTAAGATCAAGTCTCGGGCATCTAGCTACTTGTGTACCCACAGCGTCTCGAATCACGCTTTCTGGATGCCTACCCAGTTCCAACCCGTTTCGACTATTTTATATTTGGCGGCTAGGATGGCAAGATGCCGCCAGTGTCGGCATTTCTGAATACAGACTGTCCAATGTGGTAGAGACTTTCTGCCAAGTCGTGTTCGAGTCTGGCAGTTGAATCGATGTCAGAATGACGACTGGCTGGGCCACTGCCCAAGAGACTTCCATTGACACAGCGGGCCAATGACTGATCCATATCCAGCTGACCGGGGCGTCTTCCGACGTGGTCTTTTGACGCAAGACCCCCTTGTGCCTGAAACTTGTATAACCTGGGTCAGCAGTTCTCGGGGGCAAGTTGTCCATTTACGCGCGCATGAGTGAAAGATACACGAATGACAGAGCACACCGTCTGGTACTTCAGTTACTTACGTGCCGTGATAGCACAGCATCTGTCCACTGAGCTCACCCGTCATCAACCACTTGATCCACTTGGGAGCATGATGCAGTGAAAGCAATGCATTCATACTGCTGTTGCCAAACACTCGTAGCCCTAGTATTGATGATGGGTGGCGTCCAACTTGGTCGTCGAGTCAAGCCGAAAGATCCAGAAATAGCAGTCCTCGGACAGGTATTCCCAGTGGCAAATCTTGAATTTGGACTCTTGTAGGATTTTGGCTCTTGAAAGCTGGCCCACCAGGAGTGATACTCATTTCCAGCTTCTAGCCTGCTGGCTAAGTGATCAACACTTTTATAGTTATGTGAACATCTCGATTGGCTGACGAGGAGAGAATATTGCTGCGTGCCAACCTGTCTTCAAAGGTTTGCATACACGTCCTAGCCTCACCGCTATTCAGGCATCGACTCTGCCAATCGTGGTATCATGCACAGCTGACAACATGAATGTTCAACTTGACCCACTCTCACAAGAGAGCTGAACATGCAAGGGTCACAGTGCTATGCAAACCCTGGAAAATTACTCTGTCAAGTCGGTTGGAATTTTCACGACTTCTCGGCGAGTAAAGCTGTCTCTTATTAGCTTAAGGCCTCCCATGGTTCTTGTGGGCAGCAACGGGAATCAAGATTCTTCAACAATTGGTGCGTCGTCATGGGCTGCGGCCGTCAAGTTTGCCAATGTCCCGCGAGTCCCCTCCGGTCAGACCTTGATGGTCAGGCAAAGGGCTATCATCACATGATCATTATGTCGAGTCACCATTGATTACCTCCAAAGCGTATCTACACAGATTTCATGTCGAACACCACTCTGTATCTAATAAACCCAGAACAATACTTGAAGAGCAACGTCCTCTGCATCATGTGGATTACTGTTATTCAGAACGTTGATATTGTAAATTAAAGAGCATTGGAAGTAGTGTAGTTTTGTAGTTTTATAGTTTTTATAGTTTCTAATATAATAAATAATATTAAATCTAATAAAATACTTATAAGATTATAAGTTT